CCTGTCTACAGAAGTGCAGAAGGAGCCCTTCTCCCCCTCACAGCGGCTCTGCAGGCTCTGAGTGGTTAAACGTGGAGTCTGGCCAGTCTGGGGGAGCGTTGGCAAACGGACGTTTGTCTCCACACTAAGATCCACATCTACCAAGAACGTTGCGTTTTTCTGAGGAGACGCCAGGCTTTGGGCATACTGAATGTGAAGAGTGGTTGTTGCCGGCTGGTACGATTTCTGTGGATTTCCAAATGTGTCCTGTGTGTGCTCCTTTGCTTGCCACGGTGAACGCTGTTTTGCAAAAGGTGCTTTCAATCACAGGAGCGCAAACCTCTCCTGTTTTGGCTAAAACGATACAAGAAGCCAACAGCTAAGTGGAGATTAGCATGAAAGGAGCCGAATCCTGTATCAAAAACATGACAAAGGGTCTGGTCTCTTCCCGAGGTTCCTTTTCTGCTTTTCTGAAGCCACTTCATCCCAGTTCTGGCTCCTCCTCATGATTGCCAAGTGGCTGCCAGGGCTCCTCAGTGACGTGTTACTCAAGGCCTGTGTAGCAGGAGAATGCGCTTACATCTTTCCCTAGCGCTCCCCCAAGAAGTCCGAAGGTTTGCTGTGACGGAATCCCTTCGTGCACATGTCCACCTCCACCAATCATTTTGCTCTACGGGGCTTCAATCAGAATGTGCCAGTTGCTCGGCTCCGGCCCCAGATAGCAAATGCATAGATTGGAAGATTCCACCCTCAATAGAATTGATCATGGCCTCACATAGAATCCTGTACCCAATAATCAGAATATAATTTCTTCTCCAGCAGGCAGACATTGGCAACCCTGTCAATAAAACCCCAATCCGTAGTTTCAGGCAGACCAAGTTCTCTAAACACATGAAATTAGACAAGTACTTCTTCGCAACACAACAAAGGTACTCCAAAATTTTATAACATACTTCCAGATCAATACTTAGTACTGAACTCTAGGAAAACTCGCATGACTCAATCTGTGCGACACACGTAATGGCGAACAGAGAGGAAAACTTAGAGGTTTATATTCTTTTAGAAAGGTAACACGGCTGCAAATGAATGAGGTCTGTCCATGGAGGAAGGTGCAAAAAGACTACAAAAAATCCCAGGAAAGGAGAGTGAGAGCTATGCTGTGTTCTGACACTCGTGTCTCCCCACAAGCATGTGCTGACATCCAAACCGCCGGGGAAGCTGGTATTGGGAGGCATCAGGGTCGTTTGGCAGGTGCTGAGGTCCAGACGGTGGCCCACTCCTGAACTGGATTAGTGCTCCAGAAAGGAGGC